TTTGTTCCGCAGTGATGTTGGCCCATGTTGACTCCAATGCTTTCAACTGGATTCACCTGGTCAGTCTATGTCTTGGAAAGAACTGTTCTTAATGTTTTGTATACTCAGTGTATAAACCATATCGTTTATCTTATTTACATTACGACACTCCTCCTTATATCACGTCAATAGACACACCTATGTAAGTGACGCTTGTGGTTGGAGGTTGGGTTGTGACTGGAGAGAGGAGTGGGTCTGAACGCAGGCATGGAGGGGGGCAGAAGTGGACCTTGAGATGGGCCACTCCCCAGGTGTATTCACTCAGCCGCTTTGGACCAGTTAGAGGGCTGTTATGTTACGTTTATGTAATAGAGTTTAATGGGACACACAGCCCCTCATTCCCCCCCCCCCCCTCCTCCTCTCTCTCCCCCTGCCTCCCACCTACTCACGTTTTTTGTACAATTAGATTTATGTCTATTACAAGGAATGTTTTGAATCTTTCCATTCAATTCCAATGCTCTTTTGATTCGATGCCTAGAGGCAAACAATACCAGGATATTAGAGCATGAGCCATGTAACCTTTTTGAGGACTGTTTTCAAAACAGAGATTTGTATTATTCTATGTTTATTTAATAGTGATGTTTATTACATCACTGTCAACCGTGTATGATAACAGCCATACTAGAAATCGCCCCTTTTGGGTCATGCCTCTTGAACTGTCTGTGTGTGTGCGCGCACAGGTGTGTGTGTGTGTGTGTGTGTGCATGGTAGGACCTGATGGCAATGGGTGGTTTTGAATCAGGGTTGTAGTTACTGTTTACCACAACTGAGCAGGGGTTAAGTGGTGGTTTGGACTCAAGTTCAATACCTGTAGTTTCCTTATATTTTTAATCAGATAACACACTGAAAAAACCCTAATTAACCATGGAATACATCAGTCTTTCATCAAACGAGTAGGTCCATTTGTACTGTAAGTATCATAATCTTTCACAACCGTAGTGTGTGGTTCAGGTGTTGCGTGCTGTAGAAGCTGGGGGAATTCCACTCTATAACAGTAATACCTGACTTTGACTTGCCCCTGTTGTGAAACCCTGAGGTGTCTGCAAGCTACCCCAGAAATGTGTGAAAAGGTTGCAGTGTGTCACACTGGACATGAGCCAGGCATGTGTAATCCTGTGGCCCCCTCCCTCGCTGGCTGCTCCACTGACCCTCTTCCCCAGGCTGGGAGGGACAGCCAGGTAACCTGAGAGCCTTGTTTGTGCTGTTTGCCAGGAGGTCTATTCTGCAGGAACCGTTTTGTGACACGCACATCCAGTCTCCTCCAGCCCCCACCTCTCTCCTCCCTCCCTCCTCCTTTCCTCTCCTCATGCCATCCACAACCTTTCGTTCAACTCCCTCTCACGTTCACCTACTTTTCTCCTAACCTTGCTCCAATCAAATCAGGAAAAGGGGAAACACAGCTGAATCCAGTAGACGAGTGCTGCAGTTGTCAGGAAATGTCACCTTGCTCCTGTCCCATGGGTCCAAAGACAACTATTGCAGGGGGACATCAGCCGCACCACCCAGACCAAGCATGGGCTGAACGCAAGGCAAAAATAATTTGTGTGAGGTGCGTTTGGGGCCCGTGTAGCTCAGTTGGTAGAGCATGGCGCTTGCAACGCCAGGGTTGTGGGTTCGATTCCCACGGGGGGCCAGTATGAAAAATCTATGCACTCACTAACTGTCGCTCTGGATAAGAGTGTCTGCTAAATGACTTAAATGTATAAATGTTTGTTTGTGAAGGGCATTGTGGTGTCAGCCCTCAAATAGCTGCTTTGTTTGCAGGCTTAGTCCAGGTTACTCCCCCTTTGTCCTTGTGTTATGAACATAACCCCATTTTTGTGTGTTTGGGAGGGCAGGGGGCGGGGGAGAAGATGGGATGATAAACAGACACTGCCCCATTGGGCTCTGCCTTGATTTACAGCCCCATGTATTCTTCTCATGACAGATCTGCTGTGACACTGAACTTGGGCCTGGAGAGTTGGCAGCAGGGACTGACTGTTTCTGCCCTTACTTTGTAGGTCAAAGAGCCATGGACATGCTTGCTGAGTGAGAGCCTATGAGAATAGGCTGTGAGGTATGTTAGCACTGGGCTTAGAGAAGGAGAGGAAGCTTGTCCAGTTTTCCGTCTGGGTAAAGTGGTTTGTGTCAGGTTGAATGAGGCGTTTATAAAGTGGACTGGGCCATAAGAGAGGTCTTCCGTTCCGTGGGGGGTGGGGGTAATAATCTGTAGGTGTATGTGTATGTGCATGCGCTTATATCTGAGGGCTTTTGTGTGTTTAGTGTGGTCGTGGGGTACATCTCTGCCCTGCGTGTGTCGGTCCGCGTGCTTATAGAGAGTTAGCAGAAGGAAGAACTAGGCCACTGTTACATCAGGGAGGTCAGACAGGCGTTCTGTCTAGAAAATGTGTGTCAGTATGTCACTCCAAAGCTCCTCTCATTTAAAATGAATCCAGTGTGCCAGGAAAGTAAGGAGCCTAGGGAGTGACTGTACCCAAGCTATTTGTGAGGACTGGAAACAGGGTGTCCCCACACCAGCTAAAAGAGAGGAGGACTCAGTCTCTGTTCAACATGCCTGTGGTTACAATCAGTTGTGTGTTGCCTTGATTTAAATTGTGTCTGTCTAATCATTGTAACTCGTGGCTCTGCTTTGTAGCTGTGTTCAATTAGTAGGCGGTGATTCAAATGACCATAGAATAATGTTGTTTGTCAGCAGCTGCTCTAGTGTAAATGATAGTTTGTTTATTACGTTAGCTAGCATATGGTTGTTATTATTATTTTTGCGGTGTAATAACTAACCCATGAATCACTGTGTATTCAGCATCAAGTGACTGAAACTTCCCTGTAGTTATCCATCTGGCATATGCACAGCTGATTTTCAAACATATCCATCATGAACTGTGTGTAATCCCCATAGACAAGAGTTTTACTAGTGTCAGAGTAAAGAAAGAAGAGAAAGATCAGATATTTGTAACGATATGTCGAGAGATTCAACATCCTTTTTATTGTTTTCAATCTTGAAATGCATCCATCTTCCATGATGAATATTAGTGTCTCCATACACAGCCATGGCAGAAAGAAGGGGTGGTGATGACCTAGACACTACCTACTGCTAAACACCACACAAGTCTCGTCTGCATCTTTTTTGTCCTTTTCTGTATCTTTTTCATAAAACCATCAGCAAAAACACAAGCATCACTGATTAATACACATTGAAAAAAAGGAGGATGGGGGTACGGGGCAAATACATCATCACAGTCAATAGGAGAAAGACACAATAAGATAATAACACAACAACACTTGTCAGAAAATAAAAAAAACTATGAAATTAACATTACAGTGTTGTCCGAGAGAGGGAAAGCTTTACATTTATACACAAGTGCCAAAAAAGCTAAACATATACTTTATAAAACTGTGTGGTACAGTGCAGGCTTCTCATTATCACCCAATACGAGGAAAACAAAGGCCGGGGGTGGATGCCCCATGTATTACACTACAGAGGCACATTGGAAAAAGGGGAAATCCCAATTTCATTAACAAAGTAGAGATTGTCCTTGGTTTTTACTAAACTTACTTGGAATAGCTCTGATTAATTCTAAACCAGGTTTTTCTAATGTCATGGACTATTTGTGTAATATAGTAAATTAGCCTCTGTTTCAGAGATCCAATTAGCTAGTATCTGGGTTTAACTCTGTGTCTCTAGGGCAGTCAGGTCAGACCACAACATTTCAAATAGGACTTCAGCTTGAGGTTCTGAGCTCAGTGCATTGTGTAGTGTGTAGATTTGCTGAGGAGACTAGGTGGCCTCACTCAGGGTTAAAATATCATACAGATATCATTTAGATTATATTACTATATTTAAAAGAACTCCCACCCCTATATGTCCCCACTTTACGGTTATAACTTCAGCTTTTATATCTTTCTACAGATTCATATTTTAGTCTATGTTCCTATGGGCTTTTCTGCAGTGGTGGGCATATGAATCAATACATCGGGCTAAGAGATGGGAACAGTGGAAGTCTAGACTGTTGATACTGCTAAACTTTAGGCCAGTAGCCTAGTTCTGTCTCAGATCGACTTTGATTGAATGCTGTCTAAGATCTTAAAGATCTACAGTAATAACAGGCAAGCTGCATTAAAAGCTATTGGCCATGTTTCTGTAAACAGAGTTAACAAGTGATTACATTAAAGGCTTTTTAATTTAAGTGGTGTTTGCAACAGTAGACACAATGTGACTGTACAGTAATTCTGACAAAAACAGGATGATAACGTCCAAATCCTTTCTTGCCTCAAGAGTTTGTCGCATTTTTTTGCATTTTCTTGTTTGTTTTGTTAGAAAAAATATATGTATAAATTATTGGTATATTTATATATAACAGTAATATACAAACCAAGTGCTTGAAAAATAAAGATAATGGATGGGCTGTGTGAGATCATGGAGATGGGAAGGGAAAATATGGATTGGTAGAGGTAGGGTTAGGGAAGAGGGATGGAACTTCTTTGGTCAAGGGAATGTTCCCAGAACGTTGCTGCTATGTTTGTCTAAAGCCAGATGTGCAGGTATAGTTCCAATAATGGTCAACTTATATTCTCATTTGAAACGACCAACTGTGGTTTGACGATTTAAAATTAATCTTGTTGAAAAATGATATGAAAGAGTTTCATCCCTCCTCTCATTTATAAACAAAAGTCCTTCTGTAATTATGGAGAAGATGCAAAAATTGAAAAGTCTATACAATATATACAAATATAATACAGTTCACCCAGAAATCCTGTTTTGAGCTTTATTTAGCAAGTACAGCTTTTTAGTCCCAGGGCTTGAAGGTGAGGGAGGTGTAGATGGAGGTAAAGGGATGATAGTGGATTGAGACTGAGGATGGGAAAGGGAAAGAGCGTATTTCGTTCAAAGGCAGCATCAGAGACACCTCACAATGTAAGGAACCTCAACAAGTTTGTGTTACCCTCAAGTGTTCTAGAGGCACTTAGTCTCGTCTGTTGTTACGGCGTCCGCTTGACTCCTCTTTTTTCCCACTCTCCTTCCTTGACTCAGCTGAGGACTGCTGCTTACAGAACCCTGTGGGGGGCTGGCTCTCACTCTCCCTCTCTTTGCCGCTCTGCTGCTGCGTGAGGGCCAGGTAAGGGTGCTGGGGAAGGGGTAGGATAGAGGAAGGAGGAGGGGTGGGTGGAGAGTCCTGCTGGGAACTCATGGCTTTGTGTTTGAGACGCAGTTTGTGGGGCAGGGCAGTGCCCTTAACCTCTGCCTGGGCATCCCCGTTTTGGCATTGGGAGGAGCCCTGAGGGGAGGGCATAGGGGACCCTGGCTGGTGTGAGACACACAGGTGCTGGAGGTAGCTCCCAGTGTCAGAGATGGAGGAGGACGGGGACTCGTCGTCCGTGGAGGCCTCCTTGTCAGAGCTGCGGGGGTCATTGTCACTAGAGGAGGTGTCTTTGCCTGAGGTTGAGTGTTCCTGGTAGTACCCCTCATTCCTGGCCCCGCCCTCATAGGTCAGTATGGGGGGCTCCTCGTCCTGGGCGCTGAGGTAGCAGTGACTAGCCTGGTTGTGGGACGTGATGGCCTCCTGTTTTTGGAGGATGTCTGGAGTGAGGCCCCTCTGGGTCTTTTGCTCCTGTTGCAGAGCTCTGTACACCTGCCTCTCTCCTGCCTCGCTGTGGCAGTCTGAGTAGTGGTACGGAGGGGAGTCTAACGTCTTCCTCTCCATCTGCTTGGTCACCTCTGCCAGTCTCTCTGAGCTCTCTGTGTGGCACACTCGAGCCTGGGCCAGACGGCTGGCCTGAGCACTCTGCTGTTGGGCTGTCTGTTGATCCATGTCCTGCTGCCTTTGGCTCTCCACAGGGTAGGAGGCACTACTGGAGCGGTAGAGGATGACACTCCTCTGTTGGGTGGGTGGAGGGGCCTGACTGGTCTGGCTGGTGATGCTCTCCTGGTGGTGGTAGGAGTGGGAGTGGTGCTGTTGGCTGCGGTAGACCGACGCCATCTCCTCCTGGTGATGTGTGGAGGACAGGCTATGGTGGACGTTGAACATGCTGCTTCCAATGTCCATCTCCAGGCTGCTTTCCTCCTGCTTGATCTCGTAGACCGTAGGCTCTGGGCTGTCCCGGGAGGACCTGTCTGACATGTCTGAGAGGGACCCATGCGGGGAGTACGTCACCAGTTGACTATGTCCCCCCCCGCTGCCTGACTGCTCAGTCTCAGAGGAGTCAGAGTTCATCATCACCTGGGAGCTGCTGGAGTAGCCGCTGGAGTAGTAGTTGGAGGAGGATGTGGAGGATCCCGCATTGCCTCCATTGTTGACTCCACTAGTGAGCTGCTGGCTCTTCTCCATGTAGGAGGCAGTGCTGATAAGGCCAAAGCGCAGCTTCAGCTGCAGCAGCTCCGTCTTCAGGCGGCAGTTCTCATCATTCAGCACCATGACGCGGTTCTCCAATACCATGTCGTTCAGTCGGCGCTTCTCCCTGGAGCGTTTGGCCGCCTCGTTGTTCTTACGGCGCTTCTCCCAGTAGGAGGCATCCTTCTTTTCATCAGAGATGAACTCACGCTTGCGTCTGCAACTCATGCTGGGCTTGGGCTTGACGAGACGCCCCTGGCGAGAGGGGGTTCCTAGGGGCGATGGGAGAGACTCTTCGTAGTTAGAGTAGGTCTCTAGGTTGTCCAGGTTATTTTCTGAGCTTGCTGATTGGAGTTGTGAATTCAGGCTTTCCATTGTTGCTCAGTGGAGGCCAGTTTGGAATATTGCTACAACCACTGGAAAAGAAACTCAAGGAATGGGGTGATAAGAAACGGTGGGATTCAGCTATATGTCACTGAATGAATGAACTTATAGTTCAAGTGTCTACGTTGGCCAAGAAGATCAAGAAAAGGTGGAACTCTGCGTTAATTACCCTCATTTATCCAATGTATGTTCCGCCTTTCTCTAGGCAAGTCTCTTCAGCTTTCTCACAGAAAAGTGGGTCAAAGCCGCCTTGTAGAGAGAGAAAATAAAATAATTCCTGGAGTGGGGAATGTGACGAGCTTCGCTGAATGATTCTCTGACCTTCTTTTCTCTGTTTGTTTTTTCAAACTTTTTGCGAGAGTGCTGTGCTGAGCAGACAGAGATGTGCCCTACTGCTCCAGGCGTGTTGCAGGATGTAGGTCACTCAGTCCATCTCGGCTTGTCAGTCTCTTGGGAGGGGCGCTGCCTCTCCTTCTCCAGTAGGTTGCAAGATGAAAGGCTGAGGAGACAAAGAAAGAAAAGGCAAAACTCTTAATCCTTGTGGACTGCTGTCGACCGCTATGCATTCAGATTTTGAAGGAATAATATCTTCTTTATGTCATTGTTAATGAAGTCCATTTTCGATTTTGGCATGCCTGGTGATCAAATAATTTTGAGGGATAATTAACAATACGCTCCTTCTCACATCCTCCTGCTTTCACATCCTCCTGCTATGTTCTGCATGTCTGGCTTTGACTGAATTGTTACCCCTGGCAACCAGTGAATATTCACTAGACCCTAGTAACCACTGTCTGACCTCATGGCCCTTCTATTGAGCTTCTCTGTCTGTGGTCCTTGACCCCTTACCATTAAGGCGTCAGCATGCTTCAGTTCGGCTGGTGCCTAGCCAAATTCGGCTAGGCGAACTGAATGAGTGTGCTTGCATACTCCCTTAAAATACCTTCGTTTGGAAAACTAGAAGAAAAGCGGCAATAGTACTGTTTGTCCATTTTGAGACGCCGTAGGCAGTATACACTTCCTCAAAATAGTCAGAATTAATCTAAGATAAATCAAGAAATCTGTAATTTAATTATGACTTTTTTGCAGAGATCTTAGTCGCGCAATTTTACATCTAACTGAGATGTTTGGTGCAGTATTTCTCAATGAGAAAATGTGCATGAAAATGATTAATCTCTCGTTGAATGACAACAAAGACTTTATTGAAGAATCCCTACTGTTGATCAATGGAGGGGCGTAGACTTCAGCTACCGACTTCGGCTTGCCATGAGAAAAAACCTGTACCCTTACACAAAATGTATGCACAAACTCTTCCTAACTGTTTAAGATGGTAAGCATGCGGACGCCTTTAGCCCTGCATGTTGATGTTGACTTGCATGGTGTAATAAACATGATGCCAGTATAGTAGTTTCTGAGTTACTATCTTTTTCTGAGTAAGACATTACACATTTGTAATCATAACTGCATGTCTGGCAACCAAGTCGAGAGCACATGATTACCATGTAAATTCAAAAACAGTAACACTACCCGAAATTACATCATTCGAACACATGGAATGATTGGACATTGAATTTGTAGGCTTTAAACAGCCATTATTGACTTATTTCATTGCTGCTCTAGATAGTATTTCAGGCAGATGTATTTTAAGAGCCAAAACAGTGAATCACCCAGGTGCAGTGGGTGTGGGCTTCCCCTCATTCTGTTTTAGAATTCTAGGTCAGGAACAAAGATTCCAAAACAACCAGATTAAGAAACAGCCCACTACGTTTACATAGAAATCATCATGAATTTGAGAATTTACTATAATTGTAATAACCGTAAAGAACACATTCTATTTGGACAACCAGTTCCTGGCGGTGAATGAAGACAGACAAAGGTTCCCCGCCAAGGAAAAGAGGTGGAGAGGGCAGAGGATTTTAAGGTAAGGGCGGATGAGGAGGTGGGGGGTTAATTAATGAATATAGGTCAAGTCTCAGGAAGGAGGGGGCTGGAGAATGTGCCAAGCTCTCTTGAATTATGACACCAGGGTGGTCAGCCTCATAACTATCAAGTGTCTGGGAACCTGCTCAGCAGGGACCCTCCTGGTAATGAGCTAAATATATTGGCCATATCCCACAAACCCCTGAGGTGCCTTATTGCGATTATAAACTGGTTACCAACGTAATTAGAGAAATTAAATGTTTTGTCATACCCGTGGTATTTGGTCTGATATACCACGCCTGACAGCCAATCAGCATTCAGGGCTCGAACCACCCAGTTTATAATCTCCCAGGAGTCTGGGGCAATATTACGTAACTACCAACTGCTCTACACTTTTTAAAATGTGGGTTCAACACCAATATTTCTTTCCATGCACAATTCAGCAACAAAACGAGCGCAAATCTAGATGGGATATTATACTCATAGTTCTTACATTCAAAATGTTTTGCTTCCCACAAAATGATGACAAGCCTTCTAGGTATGGGTAATTTGGGTCCCATGATGCAGTAGAGACTAAATAGGGATATAGGCTACGATTATGCCTGGAAAAACGGTTGAGACAGGGCCAGGGTTCATGCACTGCTAAATGCAGTACTTTAAGGTCATCATTCCCATGAGCCATTTGCGTGTGGCTGTGTGGCAGGAGGGAAAGAGTGGAAAGACCACAGAAACCAGGGACCACTCAGTAAACACTGGCTCTGACTAGTGCCTACACGGCACGCTGGAATATAGGTCAGTGGAACCACGGGTGAGGCAGGGAGAGAGAGACAGAGAATTAGAGAGTACTCTATTTATAGAGGTGAAAGATGCACAGAGAGAGGGACAAAGAGATTGAGAGAAGATAGACAAAAGAAAGGGAAAAATGAGCTCAGATGATAGCACCTCGCAGGATGTAAAGAAACTGGATACTGTACCAGCGTTAACAACATATCACCCATGGCAACAAAATAAAAAAAGGGGGCAACTAATCCTGTCAACATCAATCCCTCCTCATCGAACAACACACTCCCTCTGCGCAAACGGATTGACTTGGAATTAGCTGGAGACATGAATGGAGCTGGTGTGTTTGCTGATTAATGCATCACAAGCTCTTAGTCTCACACTACAGCTACAGGAATAGACCATCATAATAAGTGTGAATCCCACCCAAGCACAGCGTGCCATCCAAAACATCTAACTAAGCCTCAAACCCATCCACTTCATTATAGTGTATCAAATAACTAACCGCAGGGTACTGAGGTCATGATTGCCAATGCAAGCTTCATGTGTTTTTATGAAAAATGTAGTGTGACCTGCCAGAACAAATGTCAAGTAGTAAGAATTTCTACTGCTGCCCTTTTCACCCATCCAATATGCTTACAAGGCTCTGTATTTCAATGGAACACTCCTACGCTTGTGGTAGATCATAATTAATTCTATGTCCAATTTCATGATAAAGGTTGAACAAAAAGCTGCATCTCATCAGAGTATGAATCCATTACTGATAGCACTGTTTAACATCAGCACACGTCCTTTTTATATTTAATAAATATAAAGTAATTCTACCACAGGACACTGTCTAGGGCTTGGTTACATTTGTGAAGTGATCAAAGAGAATCTAAAAGTTGCCATTTTACAATTATTGGGTCCAAACAACTACACAAAGCTAAATTTGGTGGGGCTTGTGCTCAAAAGCGTGTTTTTGTTGAGCTCTTAAAAGTAATTGGAGCAGGTGTAAAATAAGGGGAGGCCACCAGACCGGGGTGCAATATTTCACTGAGACTGAGGAACTGAACTGCCCCCAGGGGGGAAGAATGCAAATGGCTGGCACGTGGAGGGCTGGCTTTTTCCCAAATTCCAAGTAGGTTTGGGACGATATATGATTAAATAAAATATCGTGACATTTGACATTGACGATATATCGCGATATTTGGAGTAGCACATCGTAGAAGAGGTCTCCCCAAATATCGTCCAATCCTAATTCCAGGAATGGGTTTATCTTCCCAAGAAAAAGTAAAAATTCTCGGACAGGCAGGCGGAGTTCCAAGCCAACTCCTTGTTCCATAAACACAGCCATATCAGCCTCTCTTAAAAAGGAAAAAAAGATAGGCCTAGTGCAGACCATGTGTTTCCTCAGTCACATGTGCTCCCTTGGCCTACTTCTCTGCCTCTCCCTCCCAGCCACAGAAGCACAATAACAAAGCACCTACTCTATCTTTCATTATCTTTCATTGTGCCAGGAAACCCTGAGAATGTCAGGAGGGTCAGGATAAACCCCACTCCACATTGTTTACCATCAACTACAATAGGAGTGAAACAAGACATTGTGTAAGCTGCTCTAGTGAAACAAAGGTCATCTCATCCTCATGATAATTATAGCCATGTTATTACCATGTTTTTGGCAATAGCCTACTAATCCAATAAGGAATATAATAGCTGATCAATGCATTGCAATTACAAGCAATGTATGGAAGGGTTCTTGAATCCTACGAAAAGGGGTGTGGCACAGAAAGGTGAGGATTGAAGTTAATTGAAAAAAGGCTAAACGAATATGTTTCTAATTGTGTATCACTATGATATGAAGGAAACCCGAACTGTTTATTAGGCGCGTTTATCTGCTGCCCATCAGTGTTTCTGTTCTGCATGAATGGGTTGGTGTCTTTGTTAAACCAGCAAGGATTTATTTTGGTAGGTTTTTATTCTGGTATTATAGGGGCTCTGCAGCACATCCCCCCTCCCCGTTATGACTAATGTGACCTACATTTGGAGCTGGTATAGCGGTCCACGGTATGCGCCAACCAATTAGCCCTCCTCAGCAAAGCACAATAGAGGCTATGGGTTTCCGCTGATTGCATCATCTCCCCTGCCTAATCTGTTTTAATTACTTAAATTATTTATTATGCAACCCGCACAACTTCTAGAGCCTTAAGCTTAATCTAAAAGTGCAATGTGCTACAAAAATTGAAAGCATAACCAAATGCTTTGCGTAATTTCCCATTGTGCATAGAACACCTATACCATTGGCTATGTTCTAA